ATTATATAATAATAATATTAGAGTTATTAATATAATTATGATATTATTTGTTACAATATAACTATTATATTATATCATATTGTATTGTATTACGAGAAAATTGTAAATTTTAAATTTTATTAGGGGTATTATTGGTATTATGAAAGTTTCATTAATTGTACTGCGTTGATTCCCACACAATCTAAAAGTTAAAGTTGTCTTTAGGCTCCTTCTGATTTTGACTGTAGATTCTTAAAAAATTCTTCAAAAAACACTTTTGAAGAGATTTATTAAATACTAGAATCAGCTTATGTTACAAGCAGAAGTGATTTTAGGAGAAAAAAATAATATCAAACTAAGCCTTAAAGTCGGGTTGCATTATTGATGACTTTTATTAAAAAAAGAAGAAAAAAGATTGCATTAATTAATGACGTGAAAAGAAAAAAGAAATATCACTACTGACAATGGTCCCAATAATTGAGGGAAAAAAATGTAAGAAGATTTTTGCAGTAAGATTTAAAAAATAAAATTTCGATGTCTGTTTTTAACTATTAAATTCGTACTAGATACTGTTGATAGCGGTCCGATTTACTATCCTACCGTTTAAGGACACAAAAAATAAATTAAAAAATGAAAGAAAAGAACATGCGAAGACATTCATAAAACATTTCTCGAGTTTTAACGTGCATTTAAAGTAATGATTTGTATCATAATTCGGATCATAATTTATGACTCATTATAATATTTTTTCTCATAAAAAATATATATAAATTAAAAATAATTTTAAATTATAATTTTAAATTTATGAACTAAATTCTCTTTAATTAATTTATAGATGGACCAAGAAAAAAACGAGTCAAAGAAATTTCCTCACCTGTCTAAAAGCATTGGACTATTTGAGCAAGGTCCAAACTCATAGCGTACAGCCCGTATCACCGGAAAATTCGAGGCAATTTCCACGTCACAAAAATTCCTCTGGGAATCCATCGAGATGAAAAGAAAAAAGAAAAAGGGACCGTTTGAATGTATGCTCCTGTTCCCCCATTAAAACCCCTTCTTAAACCCCCCGATTTTCCCTCGGATTTTCCTGGGAAAATGAAGCGGAGGATCTCACTAGCACTGGTTTCGCCTCTAGACCGGTCCGTTTTCGTTCAGGATTTCTTCTTTCTGCTCAAAATCCAGTGTTGAGTTCTTTGTTTAGAACTGTGGTACAATTATAAATATTGATTCTCTTTCTTTCCGTTTGGCTGCGGAGAAAGTTGAGGAAAAGGAAGGAAAGTCATCATTTTTTCATTAGCTTTTGACCTAGCAACATAAGTAGGATTATACTACATTTTCTGAAAATCTTGTGTTCCAATTGGCAGTTGAAAAAGAGTCTTGGACATCTATTAATTCATCTCTGAGTTTAGATACCTTATTTTTGTACCGTTTTTGGTTGACCTTCATCTTGTTTAATTCTTATTGCTGCAATTAGTATTTCATTGCATTAAAAACTCATTCATGTTTTGTAAAACTACACGCTCTGCGTAGATTGTGAAACTTTCTTAGTTCTTTATTTGGATAATAAAAAAAATAGTATGATCTGATATAAATTTGCGAGGATTAACTTCGTACTTATGAATCATTTTCAATTTCAGGCTTTGCTGTTGCTAATCTGTTCGGTGTATTCCTTCGGATCAGAGGAGTGGGGTCTGAGTGCTCTTGACTTAACCTGTCCAAATTGAAAGGGAAAATACTGGCAGGTAACTTAATTCTGAATAATAGTTTTGTTTAGGAATAGTTTTATGATCAATTTTCTATTATATGCACAAGAGCTTATAGCACCTAAAGGGAAAACAATGCAGAAAGTTTTAGTAAAAACCTTATGCTTTTAAATGGAATTTTTAGTTAAACATACAATTAAAGGCTTCATTGAAATTCTGTTGACTGCTTAAAGTCTTAGACCTCTGGATTTTATGTCACATATATATTTTAAGAATACCAATGATGAACCATTGTCGTCTAAAATATTTGAGGGTTAAGTCCTTTTATCTCGAGAACAGTTTCCCATGTTAAGTTATGGACAGATTTATCTTTAGTTTATTTTGACATCTTTTTTCTTCTCATCTCGTGTTTCCCTCTCTTTGGCACAAGCAGATTTGACAATTTTATTATAATTGGTAATTGTCTAAGTATATGTTGCTAGTTGGCAGTGAATAATGATACATCTGTTAGTCCCTTTGACAGGTTTTCTAACGGAACTTACTGAAGAAATGGCTGGGAGAAATAATAATCTCAGAGGTGATCAAGCTTCAATCAAATACAGATGGGACCCAGTTGTGCAGTCATCCTCTGAGCTTGGCGGTTTTGCTCATGAGGAATGTGGCACCCCCCTTTCTAATAATTTTGACAAAAAATGTGGTAAAAGATCTGATCCCAAAACTCATGAAATATTGAGTACGGCTGAACTCATCTCAGCAGTGGGCCAGGTGTGGGATTACGCATGTCGTCCTCTTGCTTCTTTACGAAATGAGGTAAATTCAAGTCATGATGGTGGCGGTAGTAAGAATGACGTTATATTGCGTAATATAGTTGGGGAAAGCAATGACATGGTACCCCATTCATCACCCAGGACTAACTACTTTTGTGTTGATTTAAGGACTGCTGGTCATGAGTCTCCATCTAAAACCCAACCAAACTTAGATTTTATGGGAGTAGCCCAGAAGATCTCAGTGTCTGAACCTTTCGGTGAAAGGTATAGACATTCATCAATTTGGAGGTTACTGCAGGGTGGGGAAAAGATGATTCGAGAACCTTGGAGGCAGCAGGGGCTTGCTAGTGTAGAAATCTCGTGTGAATTGAAAAACGCATATGGGTGGATGAAACATACGACTTTTGTTGGATCAAAACATCAAATAAAAGGTAGTGAGGTTGAAAATAGAAATAGTGAATATTGCATTCCGGTGGATACTATAAGCATCGCAGGAGATACAACTAGTCCTGCAAATAACTTGGCTGCTAGCAATTATAGTTTAATCAAGTCCGTTAATTTGCACTCACTTAGTGATGCAAACTTGGAGATGAATACAAGATCCTCTCTGTGTACAGATTATTTGCTCAGGGCTTCCCCTGAGGCAGACAGTAGTATTTCACTGTCCAGCTTTTCTAATTTGTATGCAGACTATAATATGAACTCTCTAGTTTCCTGTAATAGCGGACCTGAAGAATGTTGGCATAGCACCGATGACAATCAACTGCGTGACACCAAAAGCAAACAACCTGAAAAATGGGTCAGTGAGGATTCATTTAAGGAGGAAGTGGTATCTTCATCAGCATCTCGGAAATCCCATTTCACTCTTGCTAAGCAAGAGCATGCCTTTGCAGGGGCCTTTGCTGGAATATTTGTTACCCTTTGTCTTCATCCTGTTGATACAATTAAGACTGTCGTTCAATCTTGCCGTGCAGAGCAGAAGTCTCTATTCTATATTGGAAGATCAATTGTTTCTGATAGAGGTAAGTTACTAATTGGATGTGTTGTTTTCTGTCTTTTTTTTTTAATACTTAATAAGATATTATATTCTAGTAAAGCCTGGAGTAAGACTTATCTTATAGTTTATAACACCTAGAAGTTTTATGTTGTAATATGGCAGTTACTAAAATAGCATTTTAAAGAAATTTCACTGATATATGGGTTTCAGGTTTAACTGGACTTTACCGTGGAATCACTACCAACATTGCATCTTCTGCTCCAATTTCTGCCATCTACACATTCACTTACGAATCCATAAAAGGAGCTTTGCTTCCTATTTTTCCAAAAGTAACTTCTGATTATTCTCTCTGCAACTTTCTGCTTCATTTGTTCTCTCTTGCCACACAGATGTATATATGTTTCCATCCCCTCATTTTATTTGTTTATATTTTATATGGCAATGAGGCGGGTATGGAGGAAAATAAATGAGCCAATAACAGTTGGAACTCATCATCAGGCAATGACAATTTACTTTCTTGCTTATTCCTGTTCGCTCTAAGAATAATGTCACTTGTCTTTCTAAAGTCGTACTTATTTCTTTTCTGCAGGAGTACTACTCTTTTGCCCATTGTGTTGCAGGTGGTTGTGCAAGTGTTGCTACTTCTTTTGTTTTTACTCCTAGTGAGCATATAAAGCAGCAGATGCAAGTGGGCTCTCACTATGGTAACTGCTGGTATACCTTTAAGATCCTGGTACCTTGCCAATATCACAAATATTGTTAACGATAGTGTAGGCACCTGGTTTTGAGGCTTGATATATTCATTTTAGTTCTGAACATTTTATACTACCGCTACATATTTCAACATTTTTGTCCTATTTGTTGAACCATCTTGAGTTCAACATCTATGTAATTTTCTCTCCATAAGTTTGTTGAAATATGGTTCTGTACATTGTTTTGAACTTATGTTTGATTATTCTTTTAATGTTTGATGTCTTTGCAGGAAAGCATTGGTTGGAATAATTCGAAAGGGAGGTTTGCGCTCTTTGTACGCAGGATGGGGAGCAGTACTTTGCAGGAATGTACCACACTCGATTATCAAGGTCACTTATCTCTACGTCTTGAATGACCCTGTGGCTTGTTTTAGGAGCTTCAATAACAGACATATGCCGATTGGTTGTTTTATTGCAGTTGTTGTTAATCCTTCTGTTTTGTTCCATCATGATAGTTTTTAGTCTTTCTCTACTTTTATGTGCAGTTCTACACGTATGAAAGCTTGAAGCAGTTGATGTCATCATCACTACCATCTAGTATTCAGCCCAACACACTACAAACAGTTCGTATCTGTTTTCTCTATCCCAGTCGCTCTTTCGAATTTTATCCCCCTTGTTTCCTTGTTGGTTGCTTTGTTCCCGCTTCTGACATTCTGATCACAGGATGATTTTGCATTTCTGCAGCTAGTTTGTGGAGGACTAGCTGGATCCACTGCCGCTTTATTTACAACTCCTTTTGATGTGGTAAAGACGAGGCTGCAGACACAGGTTTGTAATCTGTACGACAGTTTTGTGGAACCTTCGGTGTTGTTTGATTAAACTTATACCTATTCCATGAATGATGGCTAATTCATGTCAGACATCTTCCTCCCCAATTCCATGAATGATGTACAAACAACTATATCTATTTTTTTTTTTTTGGTTGTAAATTGTCTGTTCTCAGAAAGTGGACGTTTTGCAGATTCCGGGATCCACAAGCCAATATAGTAGTGTGGTTCATGCCCTTTGCGAAATAGGAAAGAATGAAGGTGTAAAGGGCCTCTACAGGTAAACGTTGCTATGTTTCTTCCAATTATCATTTAATGCTTGTATCAAAAAAACACCACGATGGTTCTTGAAATGATATTTTATTCTTCTCATCTCTTCTAAAGTGAGTTTCTTTTCTTCTTCACTAACACTTGCTCTTGATGTGTTGTTGATCATCATTCTTACTATCAGGGGATTGACTCCAAGGTTGGTTATGTATCTATCTCAAGGAGCACTTTTCTTTGCATCATATGAAACTTTCAAGAGATTAATGGCTTTGGAGACGCCACAGCCTGAAGCTGAAAGAATCCAACACCAAGATGACACGCAAGACGACTCGTTGATACCGTCACCATCTTCTGCTCCAACAAAGCTTCACAACTTGCATTGATATCGGAGCTTGTGATTCATTGTCATGGGAGCATATAGATATAGAGAATCAAACCGAGAGTCTAGCGCCGGTTGGGAAGAGTGAATCTATTTTATTACTTACTGATTTATTTGATCTTTTGTGGCCGTTTTTTTATTTATTATTATTATTATTTTTTTTTTACAAGTGAACGGTGGGCAGGCGTATCAGTCAGATTGTCATTTGTGTTTTTAGTCGTGGCATGGAATATGTATAGGCTCAATTCCAGAAAGTGATATTGTAAGCTGTTGAAGGCTTTTAGCTCAATGAGTGAATTGTAAAATATTGTTCTTTCAGACATTGTAGCTTTGTGCAACTTCTTATGATCAATAAAGTAGTAGCCCTCTAATGTGACCTATTTCTACTTTCCATTCTCATAAATCAAACCCCATTGCCTTTTTTTAGTTGATTTTGAGAGGGTAGAAAACAGAAGAAATTTTTATCCATGGGCGCTATAAATCCTAGACCATCCCCACTAGAATATAATAGCGGTTACATTATTGGGTGTCTTTTTATTTTTATTTTTTTTGGGTGGGGATGTAGCATTATTGGGTTGCTCAAAGCTGATTGTGATAGTATTTCCCAAAAAAAAAAAAAGACCAAGAATGTGGGGGGGGGGGGGGGGGGGGGGAGATAGGTGTGAAAGAGGGGGGGGGGGAGAGATATTATGGTAAGAGACCAAGAATATTTATCCATTAAATTAATATGATGGAGCGATAAATTCAACAAGTCGTTGTAGTATAGTGGTGAGTATTCCCGCCTGTCACGCGGGTGACCCGGGTTCGATCCCCGGCAACGGCGTATCTTTTTCATTTTTGGGTCTTTTTTGCCGCATAAAAAGTGGTCGTCTCACTTTCACTATTGTATTATAAGTTTATAACAACTCTACGCTTGCTTTTGGGGTCCCAAAGGTTCGCGCAATTTACACCAATGGACAAGAAAATTTCCATTCCAACCCAAAAATGTTATATACTATACACCATGAAAAGATGAAATAACTGCTCTTTCACATAACAAGCAAAAAATGATCGTACTTATTTTCTTTATCCTTCCCTCCCTATATAAAGTTGCAATATGAACAATAAATTTATTCTGTTTTTTCTTTTGATTGTATGGAAAGAACCAGAAAAAAAAAAATGATACAATGAAAAGATCCTAGCAAATCTACTGTAATAATCCCACGTAATGGCAAAGAATTGCTAACCAACCATGTTTCCAAAAAGTTTTGCTATTAGTTGAAGAACCCATTTTTGCTATGCTGAGCAGGTAAATTTGAGCTTCCTCGTCATCATTTACTCATGCCCTTCTATCCTTTTGCTTCAAAGGTGAGCCCCCTATTTCTCATATTCAAGAAGGGGTTCAGTGAAAAGGGGGGAGAACAGCGGAACCGCGCCAGTGAGGCCCATATGGAGCCTAAACTCTTGCAATTGGAGAGAAGGGTGGATTGAGCACATATGATGGAGGGATCTCTTTCACTCTCTTAGTGACATTCTTCTTCTCTGCCGTGACTGCTTCAATTAAGAATTTCACTTCCTCCTCAATAAGTACTTTCAGCGAATTGCCCGGGGACAACTGTCTGTCCCTCTCCTCCCCGGCATCCACAGAGGTTTCTGTACCGTGCAGAATGGCGACACAAATGGAGAATGCTTGCAGAGTAGATAACTGAGCGTGGAAATCGACCGCGTACAGTCCTTCCTCAACAACTGTCATGGTCAATGCCGGCGTATTATCTTTCACTCCCTGCGATCAAATCAAGAGGAACTGCTTGTTAGATTCCACCCAGCTACCAAAAAGATTGTATGAGTTGCATAAAGAAAGGAGACAATGACTTGCAATAGCCTAATATACTTGTCTAATTGTTGCAATAATTGGTCATAGTATATTAACATTCTCCCTTAATATAGTTGCACAGTATCACATAAGGTTTTGGAATCTACTCATGGCGTGGAATTTTTTTTTTTTTGGTAAAGAATAATAATATTTGAATATAAAAACTCCTGAATTTGAATATCCATTCCAAGGGCATGTCCATGTACAAGGGATCAAAATTACTAATAAGAAGTCTTGTCCACTGTAAGATGGGTTTGCGGAATCTCCCTGTGTGGACCCAGCATATAAGTTTTTGCTTCTTAATTATTTTACTACCCCATTTCCTAATACTATAATAACCAATTATCCAATCTGCAATCATGAATTTTCAGGCATCAAAATAAAATTTATACCTGAACAAAGAGTTCCATAGGCATTTGGTTCTCCACAAGTGATTGACTATTAGCACACCGGAAATGCGGATTGCCCAAAACAGTAAGAGGACAGGCCATATCCCATCCGCCGCAATCGCAACCTCCACCTAACCTCCAACGATCCAGCAATGATGATGGGATCCCGCTTTCAGCACTTGGCAAGCCATGGTTTCCAGCCGGAAGTACCACCTTAACCTTATCTGGAGTTCTACTATCTAGAACTTCTTGTTTCCTCGGCTCAACCATAGACAAATTAAGCAGGTTTTTATGTGTTTTATCACTGCACTTATCTCCTCTCTTGTATTTCAAGCTCTCCCTCTTCTCAAATGGGGCTTGCATTACAATAGCTGCAATTTCAAGACTCGGATGCAAATTCACTGCTGCCCAAGGATACGGATTCAAAGAATCAAATTCACTATTATTAGAAGTTGACTTTTGTTGTTGATGCTTGACCTCGCCCGTATGAGTCCCCTTGTCTAACTCCAATTTTTCTGCAACCGATTTTGGATCAGAACCATTGGAAGATTTTATGTTATCAATGGTAGAGTTCAATTTCTCTTGAGCTGAAACACTTAGTCTTGCATGGGCAATATCATACAACACAAATTCTGTCACCATGGAATTGTCAAAAACTCCATCTTTTAGTTCTGAACATAAATAACAGGAAACTTGCATCTGTCCCACCATTGAGGAATCTTTTTCACTGTCAAACCATCCCCATCTGCTCGCATTGCTCTTCTTTCCATTGTCAATGGAGTGAAAAGAATATACCCAGTTAAACGCATCTTTCGCTTTCCATGTCTTGGCTACATAGACATCTTCTGGGCATTGCAATGAAAACTCAAAAAGTGGTAATCCCTGTTTGTTTTCCAACTTCAGATAGCCATGTAAGTGAACTGGTGAACATGAAAGAGGGGACTGATTCTTACTCTTTACAAACTGAAATTCACACTCCGAATCCAGAGCTATATCCGAAAATTTGGGGAACAAGGATCTTGCAGACGTCCTGTTTATTCTCATGTTTGTCAATCCGGTTGCTTTGATCTTACCATGTTCCATTGCATGACCTAAAGGACTTCGCAAAGATTTTGACTTCATGAACGGATCAAACATCTTTCTGATAGGACTGAACCGAGCCTTTGAGCTGGCCTTGGATGAGCAATCACTTTCAGAAAGAGAAGGTGAAGGGGGCATTTCCACCTTAGCAGAGACTGACTTGTGCAATGTCTGCACCGCGTCTCTTTCAAGAAGTTCATTACTATTGCTTAGAGGACCAACAACAGGATCACTTCTCAGCTTCAAATCAACAGAACCTCCACCAACAGTTTCTGCAGAGTTGTTTCCCCGGCTGCTTGGATCCAAACAAATTTCGATGAAGCCATCTGATGAGGAGGGTGTCCGAGAACTTGAATTACAAGACGCTTTCGAAGATCTCCTTTTCAGGTTTTCCTCATCTGAACTACACAATGAATCGACAATGGAGAAAGAAATGTCACTACTTCGCGAAACCTCAATTTTTCTCCTCCCCTCCGTAGGGCCCATTTTCTTCATCTTCCTCACCTCTCTGGAACTTTGATATATGGAACCTCGCTTAAACTCTACATTATAATCATGTGTGACAGGTCTAGACGGAATGTTCTTACATGAAATGCTGCGGTAGCGACTAAAGCTGATCTCTCGGAAATCTTCTTTTAGGATAAAAATGTCGTCTTTCTGTGTGGATCTCCCTTTTGTTCTTCTCTTCCCATTATATGATAAACTTTGTTGAGTTGGAAGAACGGTATTAGGGCTCAAATCCACTACGCAGTTCTTGTCACGGTCCAACTCCATCTCCAGTCCCATTGGTAGAGCTGCAATTCCGCAAGAAAAATGGACAAAAAAAGAATCAAACCCTGCAGAAGCAGAAGCAACATGGAAACTAACAAAATTTTAACCTCATTTTACTTTTTGTAAACTGAACCTACATGACCAAAACCCGCAAACAAGATATACATGTTCTGTGAATTTTATATCACTAGAACTTTATTCATACAAAACACATAATATAATGCACAAAAAGTCCAACAGTACGGAAAACCCCAAAAAGAAAAATGAAGAAGACAATGATAATGCACATAATATGCTGATCAATTGATCAGCAAACAGGAGACAATGCACTACATCTGCTTCTTCAATTCCAGAAGAAAGGAAGATATAGATCAAGAAATGAAAACTGACATCGGATAATTTGCATAGAATTATGAATCCAAATGCTCATCATGAATTGATATAAGCAAATCAAAACCCAATTATGCAGAATCTTCAATTGCTGAATCAACAGTTGAAGGATCTTAACCTCGCCAAAACCCAGCATTTGAAAAGCTGACAAACTCATGAATGTTTCCAAACTTTGAAGTCAAAGAACCGTAAAAAAAAATAATAATAATAATAACAATAAAAAAAATCGAATCTTTTTTATCTAGATGAACTGAAATTCCTACCTATAAACAACAAATGATCCTATGATCTCTATACAAACTCCCCAAAAATGAGTAAAGTCAAGCAGCTAAAAAGCTAGATATATATACTTACTATAAACAAAAACTTTACTTTCACTCCCACTTCAAGCCAAAAGAGAGAGAGAGCATAAAAAAGAAAAATGGTGCTTGTAGAAATGGGCTTACCTTAGTCCTTGCCCCACTAGATCTCAGAGAAGTAAAGCCAAAGAGAAACCCAACAAACTGCCTTTAGAAGCAATCATAATGATCTCTTATCTCTTGAGCTGAAGCCTGAAAGTCTAAAATAAATCCAATCTACAATAAGAGTTAAAAAAAAAAAAACCCCCACATTAAAAGAGCTGTGACCCAAAACCAAAAGACAACAAATTTTCACCTTATAAATAAAAAAACAAAGTACAGGGTAAAGCAGGAAAAAGGGAAAAAAAAAATGAAAAACCAAAATCAGAAACAGATCCAATAGAAGTAAAGCATTAATGGACACAAAAAGTGCGGCAACAAAGAAAGATTGCAAGAGAGCTGTGGACAATGGACATCATGACCTGAGAGAGAGAGAGAGAGAGAGAGAGAGACATAGATATGCCTGAGATGTTGGGAAAGAGAGGAGAGAGAAATTCACAGTCACAGTTAGCTCTCTCTTTCTCTCTCACTAGAGGAGGCGTTGCACTGAGAGACAAGGCACTGATGAGCCTCTGTTCATGTCTAGTGAGAAAGCTCAGTCATCATATGCTGTCATGTTTTTTTAATCTTTTGTTGTCTCTCTCTCTCTCGCTCTCTCTTCTCTTTTTTTTTTCTCTTTTTTTTCTTCTTTTTTTTTAATGGCTACTTTTAGACCAGTGATTTGGCTTGGGAAGCCTGGGAGAGAGCGCCCATGATGAAAGAACCGTTTTGCCCTTGTTAGACTATTGCTCGGCTTTTATGTTTAGTGGGGTAGTTCTGGAACTTAAGTGATGTTAATTAAGAGGTGGAGGAGTGCACTAATTGTAATGAGAGCTTTTTGGTATTTTCCAATCACTTTCTCATCTCTGCCACAGATTTTTAGTACTATTAAAATCTTGGGAATTGCATATATATTATGGCTGGGGGATCCCACAAAATATGTTTTTTTTTTTTTTTTTTTTTTTTTTTTTTAAAAAACCCAAAAAAAAAACAAAATACGTTAATAATACAATAAAAATGGAGATCTCTCTGTGTCATAAATTTACTTCAATATCCCTAAAGCAAGCTCTAAGAATCAGGCAGGTAAAAATCGAAGTAACTTATAGGCTTAAGTTCGCTTAGATTTTCTTTTTCTTTCTTTTTTTTTTTTTGATAATTTAGGTTTTTTTTTTTTTTTTCCTTTTTGCTAATGGATGAGATGCCTTATCCCGTCTTTCATGTGTGCCCATTTCGAGCAATTAAAATTAAAGTACTTTTAGATTTTCTACCCCTTTTATTCTTGAGTGGGCCTCGAGCATTAACTTTGAAGCTAAAAATGGTCCAAAATTTGCAATATTACGTATCAGGTACTTCTAGTTGGAGCAAGGAATTCCCAACTGTCTTCTTTTTCTTTATCATCATTCATTCATTCTCCTAAAAGCATGCGCAAATAAAGATATTATTTGTTATGAAAGTATTAGATAATTAAGATATAACAAAAGACAAAAATACATTATTGTATTTAGCATTATGAAATTGCTCCGAAAAAATTAGCAAAAAAAAAAAAAAAAACTTATCTTGATATTGTAAGGGTAATATGGTAAGTTTAAGAATGCATGTGATTGGATTAGGCGGGAGGCAGCAAAAGTAGATGCGGTCGGTCACATCAAGCCCACGGAATCTTAGACCATCGTAATCTAAGGTTGACGCCAATTTTCTTTTTTCTTTTATTTTTTTAAGGTTTTAGTTTTCCTTTTTATTTAATTAGAGATTTGATCTCATGTCGTTTTAATCAATAAACTAATTTGATCTCTTGTCGTTTTAATTATCTGTTTATCGATCTATCTAGTTTAACAAGACGAGAATTTAACGGTTTATTAATTGCTTTCCATTTCCCAACTAGAGTTTGAGATTTGATCCAAGAAAAATAATATAACATGAAAATGACCACATTAGAGACATAAATATTGTCCCCTTTTTTTATGGTTCGAATCACAACTCAATTTTTTTTTTTTTACATTATTTTCTTTCATATAAATTTAATTTTCAACTCAAATTTTCTAACTCAAGTTGTGAGAAGCCAAAGAGAGACGTTTTCATATGCTTATTGGAAATTCTTTCTTCTGTGGAGTTAAAGTCATCTCCTTAATTAAACTAATGTGATTATGTGAAACAACAGTGAAATAATACTGTAACAAAAAAGTATGAAGTTAACAGAAAAAGAAAGTAGTACAACACTAGAGCCTAGAGGGGTATTTATTTTTCGTAATTTACTTAAATTCGTCTTATAAGAAAACAAAATTGTTGGTTGAACTATGAAGAACAATGAAATTTAGTATAGGAAGTACGACCCTTAAATGGAGCAAAGCCCTTCATGTATCTTCCCGGGATTGCAAGTAAGCTAATCAAATAAACCAAATAAATTGGCTCATTTGGATATTTATTACCACAAGACTTCTATGGTAGAGAGTGAAAATTATAAAAGATTCTATCAATTTTACTTACTTTTTTTCTTATTTATCAAAGACGTCTTTATTTTAATGTGATTTTAACCATATTTGATTAAATTTTAATGTAATTTTTAATAAGATTTAGCATTCAAAAACGTCTTTATTTTAATGTAATTTTAATCAGATTTAACAGAATGTAATTTTAACCAGATTTAACACTCAAAGACGTCAACGGAACCTATTGTAAAAAGCTCCCTATTACCATTACCCACCAAGCGATAAAATCTCTCAACTCATTATTTCCTTAACAGCGAAGACGAATTAATAACGTGTTCAACCCAAACCAGTAATTTCCTCAAACGATATAAGAAATGAAAGAGAAGATGTGTGGTAATAAAGTGAGCATATAAAGTTAGAGGGGGCCAGAGCTTTCAGTTAAAAGACCTGGAAATGGAATGGAATTCTGGAATCTCAACTGTAACTTTTCTGAATGTGCCAATTGCATCCATCAGCTTAGGTTCCAATGCAAGCAATCTTCCATTTATTGCTGGACCTACTTGAACTCTGCTAAGCATACGCAGCCTTAAACTGTACCATCTCCAACAACTACATGAAACTCAAATTTAACACAACCAATAAAAAGATGAAAATGCACATTGGAGGTTTTTTTTTTTTTTTATCTTTTGGCAAACTACTTTATTCAACTACCTTACCCCCACTACCCTACCTGACAAGAATTTATATTTGCAAACCTGAAAATAATTTGTATGTGCAACTGCAAGTGTGCGCGTGTAATGAGAGAGAGAGAGAGAGAGAGAGCAATTTACTGGTCATCCTAGAACTTTGGAAACGACAATATGACACCTCAAGTATTGATATCCGGTTAGTATAATCTTTCTTCTGATATCCTGTAACAGGCTAACAGCTTATTTGTAAAAAGGAAGGCCAAGGAAGGATACCAAATTTGACACTCGAAAGTATGCCACTTCTATCCTAAGCCTCCCAATTAACCTAGGGATTAATATGCACAATGCTCATCCAGATTAAAACTGCTATACAGGAAAATGATTCCTCACTACACTACACGTAAATACTTTTTGAAGTTGGAAGTAAAACCCGGCATTGTATGCCCCTAGTCAGCGTTCCTCGTAGCACCCTTTGTAGTCTCGGGATTTTCCTCCTTTTTACCCTTGCTAAAAGATTTCTGGGCCTCCAGCACGGGCATATATGCTTCGCTTGTTTTCTTGAAGACATCATTGTCAGACTCACGGGGGCTCACCAGCTTCTTCTCGACATTTTCGAATTTGGCAGTGGCCCATGGAGCCGTGCCTACGTTTTTTGCAGAGCTCGGAGAGTCAATCGTCAGGGTGGATGCCTCGTCTCGAGATGCATACCATGAATAACCACAGGCAATACACTCCAACTGAAACCAGAAAACCCAAAGGGAAGGGTGAGCGGCAACTACAATATGAATGTTAATCTACCATTAGAAATAAATAAAATCAATAAAATCTTAAGAGTCCTTAGCCAACACATTAAAGATGCAAAGCAATAGCTGGAATGGAATCAAGCCAGAGAATTATCACCCTTGATGTTATTCTGCTGGATATACCACATGTTAAATGAAAAACCAAGAATCCTTTTGTTTACAGGGTGACATGAATCTCTATTGTTTATGAATTCTTTCGTTTACAGGGTGACATGAATCTCTATCGTATCATAAACATTGTCTGAATTTGGCAATAACTAGAACCCTACCAAATTAGTGCCAATCCACTGAGCCATCTCATGCAGCAAAGGCAAAGTCATTCGCTCTTCCTAATTTTCCATTTCTACTGATTCTCCCACAAAAATGTGTGTGTGTGTATAATGATATGAATCTCTATCGTATCATTTACATTGTCTGAATTTGGCAATAACTAGAACCCTACCAAATTAGTGCCAATCCACTAAGCCATCTCATGCAGCAAAAGCAAAGTCATTCTCTCTTCCTTAATTTTCCATTTCTACTGATTCTCCCACAAACGTGTGTGTGTGTGTGTGTGTGTGGTTCAAGAATAAGAACTGAAGGAGAGCACACAAACCTGGTAGCGCTCTCCATGTCCTGCTTGGATGATGTCCCTTACGCCCACTTTAAATTCAGAGCATCTTGAGCAACGAGCATCAGTCATCTGCTTTCCAAGCACCAAATATCATGCAGATTGAAGAATGAGACCAAATCCAAATCCAAAATATATTAATAGAATCATCTTGAAATAAACGAAAGTACCTGCATTCGTTCAGATTCATCAGGTTCCTTTTTTTTCGTTTCTTCAGCTGTTAAACCCTCCTAAAATGTTGGCACTTACGTCAGCTCTAATTTCTTCCATTTCTCACAAGAACTCAAAACTATGCATGTGATTAGTCTGTTTAGGGCGTGGTATGATTCCAATCGAACCAAAAAACAAACAATAACCATAATATTATCTCACTAAAAACATTTCCAGTATCTCATCTGATTCGTCCATAAAAACTGTTAAAACAGAAATGTTGTAGTCTGCAGGAATGGCATCCTCCCTGGTAAAGCTGTGCAACTTCCCCCCCCCCCCCCCCCCCCCAACAGCATAAATAGAAATAAAAGTTGAAAAAGAAAAAAGGAAATAGAACTTCACTTAGCATTGATACAACTTCTTAGACAGGGCCACATGACTTCTGTTGTTCCGTTTCACCCTAAGGTCCTAGTTTATGACCAAAAAATTAACCTAGTTATTAGCTCAGCTGTTGCTTCTCATGTGAAGCTAAAGATTAGTTAATCAAAGGTGCCACACAAAATACTACCCTCCCTAAATCCGAAACTAAAGAAGTTTCTATATCTCGGCTGAACTAGCTGTCCTTAACTTTAAGATAGAAAGAAACAACATTCTCATAATTGAAATAATGAATTTATATCCTTTCTGACAAAATCCAGCAAAAGACAACTGAATCCAATCACAGTAACAATTAATCTTCATTGTAAATCATTTCCCAACTAAGGTGCTCAAAAATGCATAGACATCAATTATGAAAAATTCCACACCTTTAACTCATTGGGTGACATGTTCAGTATTTTGAATGGTTCCAGGTCTCCATTCAGAAGACGCCGAGCAAGCAATGCATTGTTCTGTTAAGAAAAAATATTAAGACACGAAAAAGAAACATAAATAAAGACGCAATATGATTATCATGACTTCCCATACTGCTCCTGGAAGAATACCTATGGTTAACAAGATACCATAGACTAATAATACGATAACTCTAAAGCAATTGTTAAATCAATTGAAACCTGCAAATAACATGCACTTCTAAAGCTATAGGTTTCTTAACACACATTTTTCCTAGGGCCGATAATTTCGGACACGACACGATGAAACGATACGAAAACGACACGAGATAAATGGGTTTGGACCGCACGATTATTAATTGGGTCGTTAACAGGCTGGCACGAATAACACGAAAATACATTGGTTGGATTCGTGCCAGTTCGTTTAACACGCTTAACCCGTTTAGTTATACGGGCCGCTATCGGGCCGACACGGGCCGGCCCGACCCGTTTATTAAGCCCATATATATATGTGTGTGTGTGTGTATATATATATATATATATATATATAAGGCAAAACCCTACTTCTGACTCAGTCTCTGGAAACTAATTTTGGTTTTTAGAGCGTAATTGGGCATCCAACCTCAAGGCTCAAAGAAGACATTTTCTTATATTTATTTTATGTTTTATGTACTTAAACATTCAAATGTTTGGTTATGTTTTCAAACTTATTTAAATGTACTTGGTTATGTTTTCAAACTTCTTTGGATGTTTCGTAATTGATATGCTTTGAAACATATATACTTGATAATCTAGTAGTATCATATATATGTGTGTGTTTGATATTTGGATATTTTAATGTGTGTTGACTATTATGCATGATTTTATTATAAGTGATATTAAGTAGTCAATTAATATAGTTTTGAATACAATAAAAAATTCCACTATTTTTACTAGTTGGGTCATAAACGTGTTTTTTTCGTGTCGACTGGTCACGGCACGTTTAGTAATCGTGTTCGTGTGTCGTGTCGTGTTAACCGTGTTATTAGCGTTTCGTGTTCGTGTTTGGGTTTCTGACACGTTTATTAATCATGTCGTGTTCATGTTCACTATAACCGTGTCGTGCCGGCCCGAACACGACACGCAAACACGAATTGCCAACCCTAATTTTCCCCCATTACAACAATACGAGTGTTATTATTCTGCCTTATATTAACCAAAGCTCACCACAATGGGATCAAAGAAAATGCACAACCAGTTCAGTTTTCTTTTCCTTAAAAAAAAATAGCTTTGATCAAAAGTTCTCTAAACTATTTGTTATTATTTGGTATACTCGTGCCCTTATCACTTGAGTTATGTTGAGTATGTTGTTTATAGAACAGCTCAGATTCAAGAAATAAGTAGATAGATAGCCTCATTACCTTCAAATTGAATACTAACTGCCGTAATTTCTGGTTGTACTTCTGAAAATCTGAGGAAAGAGATTCATGTGAAGCCTTCTCAAGAGCACTTACTGCTGAAACAGCAGCATCTGGCCAGACAAACCCTTGGCCACTCTGTATGAAAAATCAAAAGCAAACTCAAATCAGAGTCATAAAATCTTAAAGACAGGGTCTCAATTCCAAACGCCCATTCTCAGGATAACAAAAATGGGAAAAAGAGACAGCGGAAATTGAATAACAAATATGCATTAAATACCTTAAGGCTCTTATCTTGAGATCCATTCGTGGCTTCAGAACTCTTATTGTCACTTTCACGGTTGTTGCCATCAGCATCAGCCTTTCCCTTGTCATCCTTGTTTGTGCCGTCAGTAGAATTGCATACATATTGAACCCCCTGAAGAAGTCTCTCCATCCATTTATCACGATGGGTCTCTCCGGTGAGTACGTTGAACTTTTCTAAAATGAAATAATATTCTGAGGCATTACTTTGACAGCTGCCTGGTGTTTCTGGTTTTGTACGTTGATCAGATCTTGTTGCTTCTTCCTCCCTAGAAACATCAAGAGGAGAAATGTTCTTTCTCCTGAGACTTCTTTTAGACTTCAATTGATCCTCCTGCTCAGCGACAGCATTGTTTTCTTCAGGCTCAATATCAGGGAGATCTCCCAAACGTTTCATAGTTTTCTGAACTAGTAGGTCAATTTCATGCTGCTTCTTATCCTCATAGTCTTTATCTGTCAGCTTCCAAAGCTTTCGCTCGACAGTGTCGTAAACCTTTCGAACAATGAAGCCAGGATGCTCTTTACGGTTTGGAAGCTGCTTGTGTAAAGGAACGAAATGCACCACACACTTGTGCATTACAGCTTCAGCCGGAACATCATCGCGGTGGAAACTGTAGAATAGCTCTCTTGTGTCATTTGATTGCCAATTTCCACCACCTTTCTTATCTGCCTCCTCAGGGCGATAGAACCACTGTCCGGTCATCATTACACTCCCTTTTTTATCCTGAGTTATATCCTAATGAACACCGAGATCACATTTAGAAAAGAAGAGATGATCAGTGTATAAGCAGAGTGACATGAGGGGAGTACATAAGCAGAGCACGTGGACGTGAACACATATAGCTGGAAAGACAAATCCAGAAGCACCTATTACCGACCCAAGACAACCTGAAAAATGTGGTCACTATATGTTGAAATAGACAGAAAAATTGGTGAAGAATCATAGTATTTCCAGAGACGGGGAAAGATTGGGTCTGCTCCGAAGCTTCAACACACACTCAGATTTATGGCACAAGTTTCAATTTTCACGAAAGAGGTTCAAGGGGAAAAAAAATATTGAAAGCATTTCGAATTACAGACCAAGAAAATATAGAAAAATCAGCTAATCTAAGAGAGTAAAATGACACAGAAACATTAACAAAAAAATAAATAAAATTCCCAGTCAAAGCTATTAGTTAAAAAGCGTAAAGAGGTTCATCACTTTTCACCTTATTCGTTTTATACTTAAGTAAGATACGTCTTTAATCAAAAGAACATCTGTATTCCAACAAATAATCATTCTCCTACTATCAGAAAAGTAATAACGTTGTAGAACTATGGTTTCTAATGGCGTCATGTTTCTTTCTCTATCAAAGGACCCTAGGTAATCCATCAAGTTCAAAATAGCTCACCTTGTGTTATAGTTCTATCGATCAATGAAAATAAATTTGTTAAAGACATATATTTCAACCTCAAAAACAAAATCTTTAAACTCATCTGTTTCATCTTCAAAACTACAGCCTCATAAACAGATGAACTGGAAAAACAGCTTTCAAGGCGAAACCATAAACTTTCTTTAAGCATTCTACAGAAAACCCATAACAATAAATTCGTTAAAAAAAAAAAGAGTACCTTTATAATTGCCACGTACGGCTTCTGATACTTAGCCTCAGGAGTAATAAGTACAGGATCCTCCTGCAAAGTCGACCAAAAAACACACATAATCAGCAAAAACTTGAAAGAATACTAAAAGAAAACAGATTAAACATACAGAAACAGCTCTTGAACAAAATCCTCCTCCAGAATTTGACCATAGCACATAATATTCAGTGACCAAGTTAGAGTCCTAGATATTCTAGCAAAAAAAAAAAAAAGTGAGTCCTAGATATGCGTCGAAACTGTAGAGATCCTTCATAGATCGAGAAACTGAAGAATATATGAAAACACCACCATATTTCCGATCAAAAACCAGCAAAATCAAAACCACAACTTTCACTACAAAACACTTTTAAGAGATTCAACTTCAAAACACAATTCAAAAAATAATAATATTGCTACAAATAATAACAACAATAGCACACAACAAGTAATCAATCAATATTTTTAGCCAAAAAAAAAGTAATCAATCGATATAACTCCAATTCAATTATAACAATTAAACACTGATAGCATTTTCTATAAACAAAAACACTCGGCACAGAAAGAGAACGCAAATGAAAAACCTAGAAACGAAATTTTAGCAGCAAAAAAACACCATTGCCTAATTCTTCCACAATCGCAACCCTAGAATCCTCGAACGAAATCGAAGAAAAGGAACAATGCGAGAGAGAGACAGAGAGACAGAGAGACAGAGAGAGACAGAGACAGAGACAGAGACAGAGACAGAGACAGACAGACAGAGAGAGAGATAAGAAGAGTCTCACAAGATCGTATTGATTTCCGTCGTACTCGAAGGCCACATAGTGGTTCCTCTTGCTGCGTCCCTTGCCGCTGGTCTTGATCGGGTTGCCGACCGGCTTCGCATCCTCCGACACCGGTAAGTCCTCGTCTTCCTCCTCCTCCTCCTCTTCCTCTTTCTTCTTCTTACTCTTCTTCCTCTTGCTCTTCTGTGCCTCTTCTTCTTCTTCCTCTTCCTCTTCCTCTTCTTCCTCCTCCTCCTCCTCCTCCTCCTCCTCCTCCTCCTCTTCTTCCTCTACTTCTTCTTCTTCTTCATAGTCTTCTTCTTCTAGAAGCTTCGCCTGCTTCCTCTTCCGCTGCTTCTTCGACTGGTTCTCCTCCGACGACTGTTGTTGCCGCGACGGAACGACGACGTCTTCTTCGTCGCTCGTCGAGACCTGCGCGAACCTTCTGTTCCCCATTCTTCTTCTTCTTCTTCGATCTCGGCTCTACTAAAACGCTGCGTTTCGATTCACGAATTCAAATTTGAGCTCTCTGAAAGCACCGAGTGCCGAAAAATGGGTCTCTCACCCGCCAACGCCAAGCGGTGCAAACCGACGCGTTTTTGAAAAAGGGCTGGGACTCGTTGGAAATTTCTAATTTGCCACTGCAAATAGCTTTTGCATTAATTTCGGTGCTTTAATAAGAAAGGTTAATCTTACCCATGGTCCCCAAATTTACTTCTTCCAATTCTATTTTGGTCCATAATTCTTAAAACATAACAAATTTAATAATGCTTTGTTGATGGAACACCGAATATGGACGTGATGATCTCGAAAATCAGACTTTGCCAATTGAAGATTATATATATTCTATCTTATTTTAATATCCAACTGACACAAAATCACACATTTATATAAACAGATAGATTAAGATTACGTTTAGACTTTTTGAAAGTTTGGTAACTAGAGTGGGATCATGGCTAAAATTTGAAAATCATTTCTCAAATTAACTCTAATAAAAACTTTTTCTGTATTTTTCAGAGATTCATGAGTAATATTGAAACTAATATGTGTGACCTTTCTCATTTTTATGGTGAGAATATGATTGTTTTTAGCACAAATTGTTGTGGGAAGCAAGTGTTCTGAAAACTAGGGGAGTAGTTAGCCCAAAATTTTATAGACTTGCAAAATTGTTTCTTTTAATACACTACCAATGACTAAATAATACGGTTCTCTTAATTATAATAAAAATATTTTATCTCCAAAAAAAAAGGGTACTTTCAAATTCAATGTCTCTTTAGCAGTAGAAGTAGAAAATCAGCATAAAGACGTGAATTGCTGCTTCTACTTATCAATAAGCAAGCAAAGATAATATACAAACTTTGTTAGTTGTGAAAATAAGACAATTCAATCCTCTAGCCATATAACACAACAAACTCTTTCTCGGTAAATGCATAAACAAAAGGGTATAAAACCAAATCATCCAAAACTTCTGAATTGCCAAAGATTTCATAGAAAAAAACGCATAAATGCTAAACTGTACAACCCAATGACTCTCTCCTTCAATCAAATCCAAAACAGAAAGTCCTATAAAATCTACAAAGAGCAAAGAAAAATCTACTTGTTCTATTCTGAGAAATCAGTATCCAGATTGCCCCCATTTATAAAAAGAAAGGAATGGGCAAGTTGGCAACATTCTGGTTCTTACCCTGCTCGCTACTCTCAGCAATCTCCTTCAAACTAGTCCATGATTTTCTCCTCCATTTTCTTGACGTGCCAACAGTTTTTTCTGCATCTGTAGAGACAGAACTCTTCTCGCTTTCAGCTGGTTTTTTAGCTGTAGATTTGTTTCTCTTTCTCTTCTTCACGTCCAACAGTTTAGGTCCAGTTCCCGCGATTGGTGTTGCAGGACCATCACTAATAGAAACTGTTCCTAATGTTGTCGGTATTGGCGATAAAGCTGACTCATCCATTTTACTGAACTCATCTTTTCCTCTACTTACCTCTTCCGAGATGATGGGCTTCTGAGAATTTGATTGAGCAGATTTCGATTTTTTAGTGGTTTTGATCTTAGAGGGGTATATCTCTTTCATATGTCCTTTAGGGGTCCCTCTCCTCAAATTCCTATTTGAACAGAAGTGGCAAGTATACACTACATTGTTCTGATTTGGAGTAAAAGATTTCTTACTTCTTCTTCGACACGACTTAGCTTTATTTTTCTCAATTCGAATAGTACAATTGAAGCCAGGCTGAAGAACTGTTTCACATCTGAAAACAACAGAATTTGCTCAATAAAGTTTCTCATCAATTCAATAGCCCTATGATAGATCATTTGTCGCCAAAGAAACATGAAAGAGTAATTCAACAAAACCTTCAGTTCGAAATAAACTAGCCGATCATTACTTCAACCTTGTTGGAAAGAGAAGTTGGAAGACCAAGACTTAATAACATTTGCTTGTATTGTCATCTCATGTGGTAAAATAAGTAGTTATCAGCGACTTAGCTTCCGAAAAAGCACAAACAAAGACAGGCTTTAATTCTTTTATTTGTTAACTACAAGCACACTGTACATAACAATTCCTTGTGGAGAAGGAAACGTTTCAATGATATGTCCCTCTAACACCCACTTAAATTCCATATTCATATATTGCACCTCAAAGACTTTGTTCTGTTACAAAAACAGGTTTCGTTTTACGCAGATTTGACACCATCATAGTAGATTAGAGACGGATTACAGCTTTATCTATCCATTGGTTTAAGCAACAATCAAATCCCACGGTGCAATACCCATCAGACTTGCACTAAAGGTAAAAGTAAAACCTTAACCAAAAGTATGCACACGCTCAACCCATACATATTTCCCCCAGGCCCCCAGAACTTTGAGATAGCAGACAAAAAGCATTCAACTTTCATCTTAGAAAGATGGGAATTAATTCCGTAGGAACTGTCCATTCTCACCATCCATAGGAACTGCTATTTTAACCGCTAGATTAATTTTTCAACGATGAATGACCACGTTAAAAATTTACAGCACAATGCAAAACAGCACTTATTCATAGATCACCAATAGTGAAAAATAACAGTTTCTACTATAAAATTTCCACAAAAAGAAAAGAGCTTTCCACAATCCTAATCTATCGGTTCATGTTTCTTAACAAAAGTCAGATCAAAACGAAAAAAGTACACAAAAGTAATAGAATTCGATACAGATTTGATGGTTCAAAACAGAATCATCGGGTTGGGAGACAAACCTCTGGCAAGCAACCAAAGAAGGGTTGGGAGGTAGACCCAAAGACTCGCCAAGAGACGCCAATTTCTGCCCATAGAATGCAGCAAAACAAGGCATAGAAGCCTCCCCACCGGCCCAAACCGCAAGCCTCTCTATATGCTCCACCTTCAATATATTCTTGGCATTGCAAGTCCCCCCTTTATTTTTCTGCTTTTTCCCTGTAATCTCTTCTCTCAGCGATATATTATCGTTCGACCCCAACACCGAATTCGGCGCCTTTTTGGCCCCTCCTCTCTTTCCCATGTTGTGATTTTGCTCTGTGATGAGTTTTTTCTGTCAGGAATTTCTTCGAACAGTTGGTGGGTTAGTCTGATATAATGCAAAAACTTGCAACAAAAACAACAATTTCTTTCGGGTTTATTTTTTAGAACTGAAAACTTGTTTCGTAACCATAATTCACACTTACAAGACTGTCTTACAAGATTTCTCTGCAAAGTCCCTCGGACTTGGAAAGCCGCCTACAGCCCACTGGAGTAGGCCGTACTTTGTGGAGAAGAAGAAGAAGATGTCTAGTTAAATAAAACGACGTTTTTTTTTTATAATTACAAACGACGCATTGCGTTTTCATCATCATTCTTAATACAAACGACATCCATATAAACTATTGTTATCTTTTATGATCGACGACATCTTATGCAATTGACTTGTCGTTTTTGCGTTGAGAACAAAATTTTTTTTTTTTTTGAAAGGTAACAAATGTTATTGTTACAGCTTCGTTCATTTTACCGATTCAAGTTTTCAATTCTAATTTTATTACAGTTAAAAGCTTTTATGAAAAATTATATCTAACTTTTTTATTACAATTAAAAACTCTCACGTAAAATTACATCTCTATTCGAATTAAAAACTTAAATCGGTAAACTGAACGAGACTTACGTTTACGGTTTATCTTATTCTTTAGCCAAGCCAATGTCCAACTGACATTTTGATTCTACAGAAGGCGACAACTTGTTTCTCAAGCCGTAAACGACATGCAAAAAGACGACACCTTGTGGGCTGAAGCCTGTAGATGCTTAGGTTAATTTTTTTATTATTATTATTTAGATTTTTCATTTAAGTATATTTTTGTCATTTTATTAGGTCAAAATTAGACTTTGACCAATAAAGAGTATACACTTTTTTTTATGCTGAGAATAAAGAGGACATTATCATCTGTAAATTGACATGTTATCTACCTTTAGCGATAAAAAGTGTGTCATTTATTTTGAGATAAAAAACGATTGGACTATTTACTTAGAGGGTTGTAGAGGGTCTGAACTCAAAATGTAATTTGAACTTATTTGGTTGTGTAACATTTTGAACTTAAATTTGGTTTCAGAGTTCATTTAAATTCAAAATTGAAGGTTGAATTTAATTTTATCCTCCTAAAGCTCTTAAAGTTCTAACCCAATTTACTCTTTAAAACTCAATTCAAAGGTTACCACTAACCATTTTCCCTCAAGTTTTTTAAAAACTCATAATATAACTAAACTTTAGTTCAAACTTTATTTTATGTTTAGACTTTTCAATATCAAATACAAATTCAAATCACTGAAAACCCACATACGAGTTTAAATCTACGCAATTTAAAATTCCCAAAAAGATCGGAGTTGACATGTATGAAAATGAAATGTCGTGTAAGCGTAGAAGATGATAACAACAACTCGACATTTAGAAAATGTTCATGTATAACCAGGCAATATAGAGTATTTCAAATAATTTGACAAATAATTTTTTTCCATGATCAAAAACTTGCTAAGAGTATATTTTACATGCACTGGTATTTTGTTGCTAGTTTTTCTTTCTTCAAACACCCAATAACATATGCAGCAGCAGAATTTAAACTAGGTCAATAAAGGGCCCGTTTAGTATGTTGATTCGAGTTTTTAATTTGAGTTGAGATGTGACTTTATGTGTGAGTTTTTAACTGTAGTAAAACAATTAAATGTGACTATTTATTATAACTTTTTACTGTAGAAAAACTCAAATCAGTGAAAGGAACTGTGGTATACAAGAAAATGCACGCTGATTTTTTTTTAATCTTGAAAGTAACTTTTTTAAAAATTGTAAGAAATATGCCTATATTTAAAATTTATGGAAGTAAATGGTCAATTTATCAATGTATAAAAACTAATAGACAATTTCATGTTTTTTAATTTTTAATTTTTCAATTTTACCTTTTTTTGTTATTTTTTCCTTTTCTTGGTAAATCCAGGTACATTCAGGATTTATCATATTAGAATTACTTGAAAAGGATTGGTACAAATTTTAATGGTAAATCAAAAATATACTTAATAAAACTGAGATTTACTGAGTTAGTATAGTATCACTTTTTTAATAAACATACAAACTTTAATGGTAAATTCTAGATATAAACGGTCAATCTATAATTTACCAAGTTAGAATCACTTTGAAAAATAACATTACAAATTATAATGATAAATCCTAGATAGTCTTGGTAAATCTTAGTGCAACTTTTTCAAAAACCATAAAAATTTTAATGATGAATCTTTAGTATATGGGGTAAATCTATGATTTACTAAGTTAAAATTACTTGAAAAAGAACATTACAAATTTTAATGATAAATTCTTGATGTACTTGGTAAATCCTGAATTTACCAAGTTAGCATCACTTTTCAAAAATTGTACAAACTCTAATAGTAAATCCTGGATATAAATGGTTAGACTCACTTGAAAAAAAGCAGTAAAAATTCTCAATATTTAGTAAATTCAAAATTTATCAAGTTAGCATCACTTTTTCAAGAATCATAAAAATTTTAATGATGAATCTTGGATACACATAGCAAATCCAGGTAAATTTAGGATTTATCAAGTTAGAATTACTTGCAAAATAACAATACAAACTCCAATGGTAATCATGGATATAGTTAGTAAATTTAGAATTTACCAAGTTAGCATCACTTTTTTAAGAACCGTATAAATTTTAATACTAAATCCTAGATATACACGGTTATTTCAGTATTTACCAATTTAGAATCACTTAAAAAAGAATAATAAAAATTCTAATGGTAAATCATTAATATACTTAAAAAAAAGAACAATACAAATTAGAATCTTGGATATATATGATTATTTCAGAATTTAACAAGTTAAAATTATTTAAAAAAGAACAATACAAATTCTAAAAGTACATTATGAATATACTCAATAAATTAAAGATTTATTAAATTAGTATCATTTTTAAAAGAGCCGTACAAATTTTAATAGTAAATCAAATAAATTCATGATTTATCAAAAAAATATTTTTATTAACTCCTTATAACTATTAATCTATTAATTTTAATTCATCTCAAATTTTGTCATTTTCCGTCCTATTTTTTCTTTCTTTTTTTATGTTGTTTTGCCATGCCACGTAGCATATGACGTGGCAAGAACTGGATCAGGCTAATATTTGGCCACTGCGCTCTGCTCCGACCTCGGATTGACATGGAAGAATCTGGCAGTGAGGTTTTTTTTCTTTTTTTTAATGAAAAATGAAAATCTGGCAGTGAGTTTATGAGGTTCTCATCTAGATAGAAGTGAACACCGACAATATACCAACAGTGAACTGGGATCTCCATTGTTCTTCACGATTCCAAAATGTATGGCCCACTTGCGTTGTAATTGTTCCACCTGTTTGGGACCAGTTTCTTTTCTTTTCTTTTCCTTTCTTTCTAGTCCAGGAAAAGTCGTATCCATTGATCCAACCAGAATAATGTGGTGCGGCTCATTGAGGCGGTGCGGATCACTTTAAAATTTTCCTTTCTTTCCAGTCCAGGAAAAGTCGTATCCATTGATCCTACCAGAATAATGTGGTGCGGCTCATTGAGGCGGTGCGGATCACTTTAAAACCCGCCCCGTCCCGTTTCATTGACAAAACTCTAAGCTACACGATGACAAATCTAAAAGAGAAGAAATAAGCTTGAATTATCATCATTTAGAAGAAGTTTGGTTCATAAATTAAAACCATATGATTAAAACTATTTTTGATTTACGTATATTTTTTATGAGAGAAAATACTGTAACGAACCACGAACCATGATTCGAATTAAGAGCCGAATCTCCCTTCCAAACGTTCCCTACAGATAAAAAAACGTTATTATTTTTTTTAAAAGACGTTATTTTTCAGTTTTTAAAAAATCCATTACATGATTTATAAATGTAAAGAAAATACGAAATTATAATTTTTCTCCACTGAAAATGAACAACTTTTTACAAGAGTACTGGGATTGAGACCTATTAGATGTGTTTAGAATTGGTTTTGATTATTTTTAAGAACGTTTTTACACGTATTTTAAAACACGAAAAATAAAAACGGTATGCAAACCGTGTTTGTTTAGAAAATACCTTGAAAACAAAAATAAAAATAAAAAACAATGAGAATGATTTTTGTGAAAGAATTAGAAAACGGTTAAAAATTATTTTTCTTTTTTTGTTTTCATTTTCTAATACTTATTAACAATGTTATAATATATCAATTAATAATTATAACCAAACACGATTTCACTTTTTTATTATACTTAAAATAATCTCTTAAAAAAATTAACCAAACGTAATTTTAAAATCGGTTTTAAAATAATTCTCAAAATAATATCATTTTTACTTTTGTACTCAAAATAAAATTATTTTAAAAACGTTATCAAACCGGCTCATGTATTCTTGAGCTTATGTTCTTTTAAAAAGTGTGCTTTTGGTCAATTGGAAAGAAGCTTGTGTTATTGAGAGAGAGAGTTTTTTTTTTTTTTCTCGCTTAACGGGTCGCAACTGACGTCGTCCGGGAATTTTTTTTGCTTTGAACGTGGTCGTACTTGTCTGGCCGCCGCCAACATCATCTGAGATTTTCTTGCACTAAATGTGGTTGTCGTCTGGGTCTTGATGCATAGTTTGGGATTTTATTTTCAGAAAAGCTTTGAAAAATAACAAGTTTTTAAGTTATAATCAGGTATGATAAAGTTCCATAAATCACGTTTGAAATATAAAATTGGCCCTTGAATGGTCACTGCTAAAGCAAAATTAGGGGCGGTATTGTAGTTTTTTCCACGAACTTGATAGAGCTTAAAATAAATTTTTAATGGTTTAAAACCCTATCAATATAGTACTATTTTTTTCATAGCTTGTCATATAATTATCAAAAAGATATAAATTGTATCTAAATAAACTTATCCAAGACGTGTTCTTTAATTCAAGCTTTCACTTTCATTCTTCTATTTTTGTAGCTAACAATGTTACAAGCTCGATTCAATAATCGATTTCATCAATGTATAAAAATGAAACAAATGATGCATTTAGAACTCGTTATAAAATAATTTTATTTTTTGTATAAAAATATAAATGAAAACGTTTTCAATCTCAGACATAAATCATTTTTAAAAATGCGTTTGGTAGTTTTATCAAGAAATTGTTTTCAATATAAAAAATCCATTAATGTCTCTCTCTGCTTGAGAGAGGAGAAAACGGAAACAAAAAATAAAAAACAACTAAAAGTCGTTTTTCATTTCTTTCTCATTTTACACTAAATTAAA